ATAAATATATAAACTAATGTTACATGCGTTATATGCGTCTCTAATTATTTTTCCCTAGCAAATTTCAATTGAACCTAAAGCTGCCACGTCAGTTTAATTGGTATGCTAATTGATTGACAACTAAGCAAGGTTACTTTTTAATTAATACAAACTTGAGGTTACATCTTTTCAAATGTTTCTCAATTAATATATAGGGGATCTGACACTTGTTCTGAATACTTTTCGACCATAGTAAAATTCTAACTTTGGATTTTCTTGTTTGGAAAAAAATAATTTTCTTCTTTATCAAAGCGAAAATTTGAAGCCGCGTTGTTTTCTCTGTACTTAAGGTTACAAGTGTTGGAATGAACACTGAATGGGGGAAAAAGATTGAGACACAACCTGAGATTGATGAAGAAAAACCCTTTCAGGTATGTTTTATTGATTACTTATTCCTAGCTACCTTCGATAGTTTGCGCATTTACCACCTGTGTTATCTTTTACTAGTTATACGTTAAACGGCTTGCAATTTCTGCTAGTTGGTTAGTCATTTCGCTAGCTTCTGTTGCCTGTATTGTTCAGTTAAGCCGGTAAGTCTGTCTTTTTTTATGAGGCACCCACCGCGCCTAGTTCTGCTTTCAGTTCTAAGGTCTATAGCTCTATCCTGGCGACAGTGAGTACCTAATGACCCTTTTTTATTTCAGATACTTCAATGGCCGGACCAAAAAATCAGATGGAACTCCAATGTATATCACCGGAAGTACCACTTTCGATGAAGCAATGGAATTTGTGATAAAATCCCTTAGTTTTGGGGTATGTGGCTTCTCAACTTTATCAAGCCTTGGTGGCATAGATTTATGGGAATTGTGTGTAACCTTGCCGCCACAATATTACTTTTGCAGATGGGAACAATAATAGTGGCAATGCCTGTTGGACTTTTTATAGCAGTTCTCTTGAAGTAATTAAGACTCCTTTCCTTTCTCAAAATATGCTTAAATAAAATACATACCAGAAGAGAAGCATCTCTTTAAGTATGCGCATACTTCTAGTTTTTTTTTGCATTACAGTAACTAACATCTTGTTTCTCATCTTGTCGTTTTCCTCACTACTTCAGCCTTGCAAATACAACGAGAAAAATGATGACAGACAACGCTTTGGTACTCTACTTTTATATTATAAATTCTACAATGTCGTTAGAGCATCAACATCTGCTAAGCTTCCGTAAATTTCTTTCAGGTTCATACACTCTCTGCATGTGAAACAATGGGATGTGTGACAACTATATTGTGTCACAAAACTGGAATTTTAACCTTGAATAAGGCAAGTGTTTTCGTCTACATGCAATTAGCTATTTTCATGCTTCCTCTTTTGCTTCTTGGGTACCAATTTCAGCATTTCTTTACAGATGTCCGTGGTTGATGTATGGGCTGGAGGAATAAGAATGCAAGATATGGATGGTGTTTCACAATTTCCCTCGATTCCTACAGAACTAATAATAGAAGGCATTGCCCAAAACACAAATGGCAGTGTTGTTTTTGAAACGGTAATTGTGTCCTAGAAGACGATGTTCAGCTGGACATAATTTGATAAGCATTATTCTTATTAAGCTCATAATAAATTACAGGGAGTCACTGAACCTGAGGTGTATGGATCACCAACAGAACAAGCCATTCTTAGCTGGGGGAACAAGGTTTTGTTTCTTGCTAAGCTTACATTACTACTTGTTATAGCTGTTAAGCTAATAACTAAAGACTGTTAGGTACTCGTGTTTTGTAGTTGGGAATGAAGTTTGATGAGGCTAGGTCAGGATCACCAGTCCTTCATGTTATACCTTTCAATCCAAAAAGGAAATATGGAGGCGTTGCATTAGAGGTTACATAACATTTTTTCTGAGCATCAGATATCGATATACATACCTATATATGTTATCACTTGCACACATATATAGTTGTGCTATGTTTGATTCTTATACAATTGTTTTTCTTCATATTAAATCATTTATAGGTTGGTACAGGACACCACGTCCATTGGAAAGGATATGCAAAGGTTATTCTTAATTCAAGCCAATGGTATATGGATGGGGCCAACAACCGCATAGCTATTGGTGAACAGAGACGGGTAGTTTGTTTATGAGTGTATATTATTAATTAACAAATATTACTTGGTCCATGTTTTTTATTTTATTTATAAGAGTACATTCCTCTCTTTAGGAGATGGAAGGAATAATTGGAGACATGTGTATGAGAGGAATGCGTTGTGCTGCAATTGCTTATCAATCCTATGAGCTGGGAAGTCTTCCAACGACCGAGGAAGAGCTTTCTACACTACCTCAAGACCTTGTTTTGTTAGCTATTATTGGTATAAAGGTAACTTTTCCAGCATTCATTTCGAACTTTAAGTTTGTATCAATAAAAATTAGTACCTGATTCCACTTGATTCAAAGCCTATGAAGTATTATTGTTATCATTATTTATTCAGTGTCTTGACTAATGTGCAGGATCCTTGCCGGGAAGGCACAAGAGATGCGGTCGACTTGTGCAGACACGGAGGTATCAAGGTGCCTGTTTTACCATTCTTCTCGTCCTGAAAATTTTGTTCTCTCTAATAAATAAGATTGGCTTAGTTTAAACAACTACCACTAAGTAATTGCATGGCAGCACCAACATACCTTTAAGACTAGTGTGACAACCCATCCTGCGGACCAGACTCACAGCCCTGTAGGACTCCGACCCTAACCCCTCGCCTGTAAGTTCTAAACTATCTCCAGGTAGGTTATTGGTGCGTTTGGTGTTCTTCGAACCCAAACCTCACCCTTTAACAATCTTTCACAAGACAAGTTGTCACCAATTTATCTAGTCTATTAATCATGGGCGGACGGGGCATTATAATAATTAATAAGTTTAAGCAATCTTTTTTTTGGATCAACCCTGTTAATTGGTGTGCTTTCTAAGTGGAAGATGTGGACTTTCAGGTTTGCATGGTAACGGAGGATGACGTCTTGACGGCACAAGCAATGGCAATGGAATGTGGGATACTGAGGGATATGTCTGGCCAAAATGTAAGGACAGCAGCTCAGTTTTGTGATCTAACTGATCAAGAAAGAGAGCAGATCTCCGGAGACATCTTAGTATGAATCAATTCTTCTCTATTTTGCATCTGATAATATATTTATGAATTGAATCATGGGATAGGATAACTAGATTCAGTCTCAGTTACTTATGATATTGTCACACCTTGCAGTTAAGCCAAAAAAAACTAACACGCTACTACACTATGTGAAGGTTTTGGCTCAAGCCTCTCCTGAGGACAGTCTTCTGCTTGTCAAAGCACTGAAGAGAAAAGGGCATGTAGTTGCAGCCACTGGGATGGGAATACATGATTCAAAGACACTACGCACGGTTTGTCATTATTAGAATATTAATACTCAAAAACTATCTAACTGTTTCAAAGAGAATATGAATTATAAACACTATTTCCTTTGCGTAGGCGGATGTTAGCCTTGCAATGGGAATCGGAGGGACTGCAGCAGCAAAAGAGAATGCCAATATTATTATACTGGATGACAGTTTTGCTACTATTGTCAAGGTTAGTTACTTTGTCAGTGAGATTTCATTTAAACCATTTTGTCACAGTTCTCAATGTGTTTTTGGGCAATTAGGTTATCCAATGGTGTCGATATCTATACACCAACATCCAGAGATACGTCCTATTCCGGCTCACTGTGAGTGTATCAGCCGTGGCTATCTGTGTGGTGGAGGTTGTATTTTATAATGCATTCCCACTTAATGCCGTGCAGGTTCGAAAATTTTATCCCTTTGTTACATCATCTTCTTGTAATCCTGTACTAAAACATTTTGTCCATTTTCCCTGATGCAGCTTTTGTTGCTTAATCTTATTGTGGACATCTTTGGAGCACTAGCGTTGGCTTACAGACCAACACCTCGCAAGATAATGGGAAAGCCACCAGTAGGTATAAGGTACACAAAATCTGAATAGTAACAAGGATATGATAATTGATCAACAACTAGTTGTCTTACCTTTTTCTTTTTTCTTTTTGTAGTGACCCTCTCATAACCAAGACGATGTGGTTCAAGATAGTGATACAGGTAGGTCCCCTGAAAATCCTTGATCTGGTGTGATGTGAACACTAATGTCCGAGACAGTCTTTTACACCATACTTTCCAGATAGCAAATATACACAATACATTGGTCATAACCTATAAATAATACTTCCCTCCTTCAGGTGATATACCTAGTGCTATTGCTGGCGCTCATACGCTCTGATAGTATATTGAAGCTGGTTCATGGTCATACCGCTGATGCTGAAAAATTGAAGAACACATTTATATTCAATTCTTTGGTCTTCTGCCTGGTAATGTTCGATTAAGTTGATCCTTTCTGTCATTTTCTACTTTAGTATCCTTTTCACCCAAGTAATTACAAAAATAAATGCAGGTATTTAACGAGTTTGAAATCCGGAGTGGAGACCAAAGCTTGAAAGATATCCTCAAAGACAATATGTTTATCATTACTATAACCTCGACCATTGTTTTCCAGGTAAGCCATATCTACAACTAAGACTACGAGTGAACACAACATTTATCTTCTCTTTTACTCATTTCCTAACCATATTATAATTTTTTCCTTTCGTTTCTTGTATATCAGATCATCTTGATAGAGTTCCTTGGCATATTCATTTCTGCGGTCAGGCTTGACTTGAAAAAATGGCTCATCTCCATCGTTGTAGGATTTCTCAGCCAGGTCGCCACTCGCTTTCCTTTGGAAGCCTATCAGTACTACCGCCACTGATTACTTTTGGCGGTAAGAAACATATTCACTCCCTAATCTTCTAATTTATCACAAAATATCATACTTCAGATTTGACAAGTAATTCTCTCAACTTACAGTTCTCATTTTCAGGTAAAGTTTCGAAGTATCAAGCATCCCCAGTAGCATTTAGATGCTTAGGCTCTGTTGTTCTCTGAGTGGATTAGTGCACGTTTTGAGGATCTTATATTGTTTGCATATTTTTCTACAAGAATCATTTGTAATTTTTTGGAAACATGATTCTTTTGTAATTATAACGTTTTTCATCGTTAAATTAAAATTACACATTTTATCACTAATTTAAAAAAAAAACTGCTACGACAATTGTTGAAATATGCCTTGAATCTGCGATCTGACACAGATCGATCGATCCAGAAGTCATGGATCGGTCGATCTGTGTCAAATCCGAGAAATATGAAAAGTTTCATTAAACGTTTTCTTATATATTTTTAGGGTTGTACCCTATTCTGTAACACGAATTGTGCTCTCCAAAACTCCCTCCATCAATAAAGTAATTTTTGCCCGTGGATTAAACCACGTTAAATCTCTGCGTCTTTCTTCATTGTTTATCATCTGTTAATCTGATTCTTCTCACATCCCTCACAACAAATTGGTATCAGAGCTTCGGGTTGAATCTAGTAAGAAGATGTCTGGGATAAACATAAAAATCGATAAGTTTACTGGAAGGAATAGTTTCAGTCTCTGACAAATCAAGATGAAGGCGTTGCTGAAGCAACAAGGTCTTTGGGGACCGTTGTCAGGGAAGAAGGTTGAAGCTGTTACTTCTGAGATAGAGGTTACTGAAGAGAAGACGTATTCAACGATTTTGTTGTGTCTGGCAGATGAGATCATCATCAAGGTTTCTGGTATTGATACTGCAGCTGATTTGTGGTCGAAGTTAGAGAGTCTATACATGACGAAGTCTCTGATAAAGAAGCTACTTATGAAACAACGTCTTTTCGCTCTGAACATGTAGGAAGGTACACAACTTCAAGATCACCTTAATAGTCTAAATTCCATTATGTTGGATCTGAGGAATATTGATGTTAAGGTGGAGGATGAGGATGCAGCACTGATTTTGTTGGTGTCACTGCCCCAGACAACATTCATTTCTACTGCCTCCGCGTGTGGACGAACATCTAGTGAATAGAAGAAATTTTAATTTTACTATAAATTTGATATCAAGGTTTAAGTATTTTTTTTTTTAAAAAAATAACCATTCTCATAGATATTTAAGTTTGTGATGAAAAACACTAAACTAACTCGTTATAAAAGTTTATAAACCCTACTTTACTCCTAAATATTAAATCTTAAATAATAATCATTAAATTCTAAATCCAAATATTAAAATATTTTTGAAAATTGGTATTCAATTTACTGTATTTCAACCAGTTTCTCTTAAATATATGTAAACACTGAAAAACAAAATTTGGACAATTACTTGGTATTACCTTTTAGCGAGTTAAGTATCTGTATAACTCATTATTCAAATATTTTTTTCTCATTATTCAGATAATATCTTTTTTTTTTGGTAAGAGGTTGGGAGAAAGACTCCCAACTTATATTAAAAACAACAAACTTCAGTCTACATAACGAGTTTGCCGTGGCCAAGGGGGTCCAACGACATCCTCCATCAACAAATCAGCAACCTCAGGTGGAACAACATTAAGTTTATAAAAACCAAAAGGAAAGGAAAAAAAGCAAGGTTAGCCACCCCGTCGGCTAAGCGGTTAGCCTCCCTGTAAACATGAACAAAACGGACTATCCAGTCCCTCGCCAAAAAGCCATAGCACAAATGTACTAGGAACGACAAAGGATGAGTATCACCAATCCCAGTCGTAAAGAACTCAAACACCACTTTCGAATCAGTTTCGACTACCAATCTCCGAGGTCTTCGCTCCCATGCTACCACAAGTCCATAATAGGCACCCCATAACCCTGCCAACGTGGCACTACATCTACCGATATTTAGAGCAAAACCCCCGCACCACTCACCATCACCATTGCGTAATACTCCCCCCGCAGTTGCCAGGCCCGGGTTTTCGTGTGAGGCCCCATCTGTATTAAGCTTCATCCACCCCACTCTAGGTGGTATCCAACTGACCATTATTTCCATCTTTTGGCCAGTACTAGTATTTGTATGTGCTGCCTCATTCGCCGTTGTGATCTCCTTACCAATCTTCGCAGAAAGCCAACTCTATCTCTCCAAAGTCTGTTCTCCCCAAATATATTACCACATCTCCACTTCCACCCCCACAAAACTGCCATCGCAAACATCGTGGACCATCTTGTTCCATCCATCCTCTCATTATTCTGAAGATTCATATAGATCCACTCCAACAGATTTATTGAGAAAAAAGTCTGTCTTTTTCCAGTGGGAACAAGTCTATTCCGTATACCTACCATCGCCGGGCAGTCCCTAAGGACATGTATAATTGTCTCAATCCCTCCTCTACATACTTGGCACACATCGTTTCCGCTTAGGTGACGTCGATGTCGCTCCACATTAGTCATAATAGCCTTCTTCCCGACCAACCAAAGAAAGCATCTCACCCTCTCAGGCGCCTCTACTCGCCACACGTTATTGAACAGGTTCCCCATGTTTGGTCTCGGAGTTTCATCCATCGTAAGCATCTCATACGCCGACTTTACGGTGAACTGGCTATTCTTTGTGTAACACCAGGTCAAGCGGTCTCTGCTCCTTGTTATCTCATCGATCACCACTGCTGCAAGTTCCAGGTGTGTGTCTTCTGTTACAAACGGGGTGATGCGCGTAAGATCCCAACCTCTGCCTTCAACCCACATGTCTCTCGCTGTTAACTCCTCAAGCTCCTCAGGCAGCTCTGCGATAGTCAATGTGCTAAGCGGGGTACTTGAGAGCCAACTGTCCTTCCAAAATTTAATCTCTTCCATTACCAATAACCCAACTGTGTCCTTGCACAAGTACATCCCTTATTCCCACCACAATGCTTTTCCAAGTCGATGAGCTGGTTTTACTCGCTACCATCCAATCGAGATTATGATATTGCCCACCGTATACTTGCTACGCAAGACTCTGGCCCATAAACTCTCATTGTCTTGCAACAAACGCCACCCCACCTTCGATATAAGAGCTTTATTCATATCTCTTGACACTCTTATTCCAAGGCCTCCCTCTCTCTTCGGTTTACAAATCATATCCCAAGCAACCAAGTGTTGACCACCACCCCACACAAAGTTTCGAGACAAGCCATCAAGTTTCTCAAGTATACTCACCGGCAAATTAATAGTGCTCATAGAGTGAACCAGTATTGAACAAAGGACTGCTCTCGTCATTGTTACCCTTCCTTCTAGACTTAGTGTTTGCTTCTTTCAACCTGAAAGTCGAGAAGCAACTTTTTCTAGAGTCTCCCCAAACGTATCCTTGTTTATTCTCTTCTGAAGGATGGGCATCCCCAAGTATTTTCTCAGCTCCCTTGTTGATGCAATACCGCTTTCATGGCTTATGCGATCCCCTCTCTCACGAGAAACATTCTTCGAGAAGAAGATCTTTGACTTCGGGAGACTTACTTTATGCCCCGACGCTTTACAGAATTTCTCTAACACCTTTTTTATGACTCTAATATGTGTCACCGAGGCTTCAGCAAATAATATAAGATCATATGCAAAACAAATATGGGATAGTTGTGGACCACATCTTGACAACCTTATCGGCTTCCATCTATTTACCTCAACCGCCTCCTCAATCAGATGACAAAGCCTCTTCATTCACAGAACAA